AATGAACCATAAAAACTTTGGGAATGGCCAAACATCTTTTTGTACCTCTTCAATGGTCTAAGAAGAAACCAACCTGCAAGAACAGATTTCTCTCGATCAAAATCTAGAATCTATCTATCAAACTCCCTTAAAGAGAGCAGAAAACCCAGATAAACAGACAGAGAGCTGAGCTGCCCAATATTGGATCATCTAAAAGAGGTCCCACTCCCACCCCATCTCACCTTGAACTTGAAGCATTAACCATGGGAAGAAGAGTTAAGGGCCTAGTCTGCTTAAAATCTACAAGGGGTCCTACTAGGTGCATTTACTACACCCACTGCATACAGCTTGCTAGCCTTCCAAGTACACTGACTACTGGCAGCAATTTCCACCTCTCACCATCTTTCCTTGAGATCCTACTGTTCTGCCCTAACTGAGCAGAGATAGCAATTAAGAACAGATCAAACCCAGATCCCCAAAAGAGCCGAAATTTAATTTGTTCATCTTAACAAAAATTCTCATTGGCTGAACTGTTGGGCTTGAGAGAGATTAAAATTAGAACAGAAACAAGAAAAAGGACAATTCTGAAGTGCCATATGGTTTGGGAATTTGGAGGGATGCATCATGCAACAGGCGTCTCGGGCGCAAGAGTCCCAACTCCAAACTTTTGGAACTTTAGATCGCTATTAAATAAGCATCTCAAGGGATTTCATATATATACATATKAAATGATATTTGCTATAGATCTCTGACTGAGTTATTGGAGTTTACATCGGGTGAGGAACACAGAGACCATACACAGGGTCCCAATTCTGACCGAGTGGTTGGAGTAATCTCTAGCTAAGTTATTTTTTAACATTTTATTTAAACTGATTCTTTTATTATAATTACTATTTATTTTTTAAAATTAAAGGAAGTAATAGATGCTTTTAATGAAATGTGGTGGTTTTACTTTTAATGGGCCAAATCTTTATATGTTTCTAATTGACACCAAAATTTTTCTTTGAACGGGATCAGTTTTGAAAAATTGGAATTTTAACCTAACATAAATTCTGAATTCCCTCAAGAATTTTAGAAGCCAAGTGAGTATATATAACTGCTCACCCTCATAGCATCCATAAGAAAGTGATTTCTTGATATTTGAAGTGGTTATTTTATTGGTTCGAAGTATATATACACCTCTGTGTATTGGCATAAGTGTATCAATACTAAAAATTATGCACTTTTTATATATTTTTTGTTTTTTTAAATTGGTTTTTATACAAGTTTATATATTTTTTTATTAAAAAAAGTTCCCAAAACGATACAAGACAACACGATACAGGGCGTATCGTGTTGAAATTTTGATCCTTTTATAAGGGCAAGGAGTAATCAAAAGTATAGAATATAAATAATAAGAAGTGATTTTAAAGGCCGATAATTTAACAATGAACATGGTATTAAATAGAAGGGATAATGATTCATGTAATCGACCAGGTTTGGATGGTGATGATGCCACGAACCCACCAAGAGAAAATAAAAAATTGATGAATAAATCAAAATTGCCTCATAAAGGGATGCCTCRCTATGTTAGAATGTCTTTTGGCTCTTTGCTTTCACCAATAAATCAGAATTGCCTCATAATATATCTGGAAATGAACCTACTAACATTTGACTCTCGCTGGATCAATGAAGAAACATTTATGTGCATCAAGAGAATTCCAATGAAGCTATCAAACCAAGATAATTCCACAAGAACGTATCAAAGAGAAGAAAAACAATCACAATCTCCTTAACAATAAAACCCCACCAAAACCCACAATTTGCTCCACTTGAGAATCCCAATGAAGCTACCAAATGGGAATCCTTGTTTAAATTCTCATCACCCAACTTAGTTTTGAAATCTGCTTCAGAAATGGCAGCCTCCTGMTGACATGGTTTAACCCCAAAAGGAACACGGCCTGTTGACATCAACTTAACAGGGTAGCAGAGATTTGGGTTGCTCCATGCAGCAAACCGCCTTCCCATCTTTCCATAAAACCACTCAGAGAATTGAAGTTCTCCTGTCAGATCGTTTCTATACAGGTTGAGAGTATTAAGACAAGGCATGGCCGAAAGCTTTGGAGGGACATGGCTTGAGAGATCGTTGTCGTTCAGACCAAGAAATCTCAATCTCTTTAGTTCTGCCATTGTGTCTGGAATTTCTCCTGTCAAACCCATGTTAGAGAGATCTAGAACGATCAAGCTCTGCATTTTTTCCCATTCAAAACTCATTAGATCTCCACCTATTGGATTGTTAGACAAGACCATCTCCTCCAGGGATACCATCTCTTGAAGCGACTGAGTCAACCCACCTGAAAATCTGTTGTTTCTAAGATCCAATAAAGTGAGATTCTTTAGATTCTTGAGCTCATTTGGTAGCTTTCCCTCCAAGAGATTGTTGCTCAAGTCTAGCTTTAGAAGAGAAGTCAAACCTCCAAAAGTCAACGGTAAAGACCCAGATAGAGAATTCCTGCTTAAGTCAAAGATAAGCAGCTGAGCCAACCGTCCCAGACTCGCTGGAATTCGACCGGAAAATCGGTTCCTAGCAACAACCAGTCGCCTCAAGCCGACTAAATTACCAAGACCCATCGGCAGTTCTCCAGTTAAGCCATTTTCTAAGAGAACTAACGATTGGAGCTTTGTGAGACTGCTGAAAATGGTGGGAATTTGCCCGATGAGACCCAGGTTTGAACGAAACTCCAAGGATTCCAGGCTTCCTGCTAGTTTCTCCCAGTTCTGAGTAGGGATGGAGATTGCGCGCTGAGCAGGAGAGACAAAGCAATTGAAGAATGAGAGGGTTTTTAGGTGCTTCAACTCGAATAGATGATGCCTGAATTCTACATTTCGGGTGCACGGGAATGAATTGTCACGGACTGTTCCGATGATCAAGTCTGTAACATACCAGAACCCATCGATGAAATCACAAGAGACTCCCTGTAAACAAATATATAGAGATAACCCTTAGAAAACTTGATATCATACTAAGATAAAAATGAGCTCAAGTATAGAATACTACAGCACCAAATTTATTTGAAGCCTGTGACTGAGAATATATAAACAAGACAACAAATGATGAACAGGTTTCAGTCCAAGAATGAACTATTACGTTGGTGCTTCAAAACTAAAGATTTTGCATTGGAAACTTCACAAAGGCTCAAAGAGAGTGGTTCATTCAACATTTCGAGTTGGAAAGTTCCATATGTTATTTCAAATAGTATTCAATTAGCAATGACTAGTGAAATATAAACAGAAAAACTATTGCTTTGACTCAATAACTGAGACAACTACTGAAATAGTGAAAATGATTTGAAAACATATCATGAATGTGACTTTTAGAACCCAGTAACCCCAACCTCAAACTGCAACCAGTAAGTAAAAAATGGTTTTTTTTCACAAATGGGTTGGTCTCATTTTTACTTTTTATTAGCTGTATATATGCTTGTATCCGGTAACAGAAAAGGTGATTTTCTGACCATTAATAGCAAGCTATAGGCTTGAACAGTTAATATCTTCTCTTTGTCTTTTTAGAGAGAGAGAGAGAGAGAGAGAGAGAGAGAGGTTAGAACACCTGTATTGGGGTCCAACCGCAGGGATCCGGGTAGAGCTCTGAGCCATTCCACCACCTCCCAACGAACCCTTGAATAGCAGAGTATAAAGCTTCTTTCTCTCTTTTCTCCATTGGAGCCCTGGATGCATCTGCTACGTATGTATATGACATATCCAAAAGCAGTAGGACAAGAAGGAGAATAGCTTCGATGTTGACGACAAACCTCTTCATGGCTGATAAAGGCCGAGAAAGAGAACCCAACAAGAGAATGATTAAAAATTTAAGATAAACTGAGCTTAGACTGATAAGAGATGAGAAATGAACGTTGAGAGCAGACAATCATAGCTTGAACACAAGTCAGCAAACATCTTCCTGATTACTTCACAAGGGTTATTTACAGTCTTTCTGATCATGGACAAAAACAGAAGATTTTGAAGTCATGGAAACCAAAGGAAGGATATACCTGAAAGGAACAGACAAATTCATGGCTAGCCGAATTTTGTAAACAGATTATCACATGAAAAGGGACAGAACCCACCAAAATATAGTAWTTGACRAGAACGAAAGCCCGGCTTTTGTAGAATTCACTACTTCGGAAAACAAACACACACAAAGAAATGAGATAAAGAACCAGAGAGATTGACACGAGCAGAAAAGAAGAAGGGTTCTCTAATCCACCGAAAACAAATTAAAAAAACAAACTGCTTTCATTACGACTTTATACGAAAAGCAAGGGAGGAGGTAGGGAATAGGCAGAGCCGCAGAGGACACGATCTGTAAGAAATCCCTTTACACTTAAGCGAAGACGACACGCCCCACGAGATATAAAGCAATGGTAAGATCAGAACACAGTAACAGAGAAGCAAGAGGTAAAAGCTTTTAAGTCTTTACAGTTACAGGCTCTGCTGTGCAGTAGCATTGTCCTTGCTGATTTTATTGAAGGCTTTCCTGGAGATGGTTAACGGCCTTACGCTGTGGGGTTGCAGAGAGATCAGAATTCAGCAATGTGTAGAAAATCGGATCGGACCGGCCGGTTGAACCGTGGCCCAGTTCTAACTGGTTCGATCATACCCCAATAACTGGATTTGCTCGAAACCCGCTAAAACCAGTTGATCGGCAGGTTGAACTGGAAAACCGATGAATTGGTCTTGGTTTCATAAAACCGCCCGGGTCCATACATAAGTGAAATTTTAAAATATTGTTAAAAAGATTTAAAGCTAAAACCTCTTATTTTCACATTTTAGTTTACCACTAATCAACCTCTTTACAATAATATTTATTGTACATATTACATTATTATACACATATTTTAAAGAAAATGCAAGTCAAAAGGTTTGAATCCTATTCATTTTTTTAAGGGAAAATTCATGATTAATACCCTATGCTTTGGGCCTAGTGCCACTTTGGTCTCCAAACTTTAAAATACAACAATTCAGTACACAAACTTCCAAAACATGACAATCCGGTACTTGCTGTTGACTAGTTGTTAGTCAACCATTAAGTGGTATTTGAAAAAAAACACAAATGCTCTTCGAGTATCATCTAATTTTCTTTATCAACCATGACAAAGAATTAACAGTATCAAATCCTTACCTCTTCTATTCAAAAAAGTTGGGATGACCAGAATGCCCAGTCAAACGTGACCCCAACTTTCTTGAATGGTCAAGGCAAAAATTTGGAACTGTTAATTTTTTGTCAATGTTTAGATGGTTGTTAAAGAAAATTAAATAACACTTGAAGGGCATTTGTACCTTTTTCAAATGTCACTTAATGACTGGTTAACAACTAATTAACGGCAGGTACAGAATTGTCACGTTTTAAAAGTTTGGGTGTTGAATTGTTGTATTTTAAAGTTCGGAACCAAAGTGGCACTAGGCCCAAATTACAAGATATTAATTGAAAATTTTCCCTTTTTTTTAATTAAAAAGCTTAACATCCATCCACCATATTTAAATAGATTAAAAATTATATAATATTTATATGACCCGTAATATATATATTTATATGCCACGTCATCACAGTTCGACTGGAGGTCGAACCTCTGACCCGTAAACCTCTCCCCTCTCCGGTTATATACCCAGTCTGGTTGTCTGAACATTAGAATTCAGTAGAAACGATAAATGGGGTAGGATCAGTAGGATTGGAGTTTAGACTGTTGAGACTTGGAGGGGACCATCTCTATTTTCTATGCATGAATATGCATGCAGAACCATTAAAGAAAAATCTGGGTTTTCTGTATTCTTTTCTTTGCTGCTTTCTTTCTTTTTGAGCTGGTGGAGGCTTTAACACAGTGAAATGAAAGTACGGATAAGGAAGGCAATGTCCTGGCGCCCCCAAAAGAAGACAGATTAGGAAGTCAATGACGTCTGAGAACTTGGGAACAATGGAAAGAGAACGGCTGAAAATGGGCCTGGATGTTTGGCTGGACCTTGTACATTACCAGAACTATGTCCATCAATACAGGTATTGACTCAACTCATTAACTGTGGGCCATTTAAGCCCATTACTTTTGCAGTCTGAATCAGTTGCTATGTCCTATGTGGTTCATCAGCTATTAATTCTGTGCAATAGCAACAAGATAAACCAGTTGTAACAGCTTATGGGGTACCATTATACTTTGCAAACAAATAATCTCTTTTTTATTCTTTTATTTGTTCTTTTTCTTTTGGTGGGAGGGGGGGATCGATAGAGGAGTCTAGAATTGCTTTCTTCTTCTGTATTTTAGGCCCATACAAGAAGCAGAGAACATGGGTCTACAATGGAAAATGGGCCTTAACAAACTCATGAACAGGGTCACCATTGGGCAAGGGCACCGCCCACTTGGCTACTCAGCAACCTGATACAGAAATTAGACCCATGCACTGAAGGGAGGGCTGATCACCAATAGCAGAAGCATTAGTGTTTGGTACTGTACTTACGGAGGGTTTGGTAGTCTTGAGGTTTGGAGTTTGGACCACCCTATTATCCCAGAAATTAATCTCTCTCCAAAGAAGAAACAACGCTAGAGAGAGAGAACCCTACTATTTCATCTTATCAGGCCTAATCAACTGATAAGTCTTTTTATTTTTGGGTAAGAGCTGATAAGTCACTTTCTATCATCATTTGTTGGTTTTCACCTCAGAAACAAGAAAGAAAATGTTAAGACACTTGCTATCTTTAGTTTGAATTTAAAAAAAACGGTAGGAAAAGGAAGGGAAAGGCAGGGATTTCTCGTACAGGTTTCCTTACCTTTTCCTTTCTTTTCTTTCAAACCAAACACAGCGTTGCCTTATGACATTTATACTAGTGTTTTCAAGAAGAATGATCATGATTAGGTCACCCTCGGGTGAGTCACTCATTATCTGGTTAAATTAATAGCCACGTGTCACATCAGAATTGCTCATATCCAAGCTTGTTCTTTGAATATGCCTGTCAAATTTGGATCCAGTTAAAGTGTAACATTTACAAAATTTCAATGCACAGAAATCGTTGATAATATGTGCCAAGATTCTTATGAAATCGTTTACCTTCCAGGTTAATGCATGGTTCCCATGATCCCACCTGCCATGTGGCCTTCTCTTGCCACGTTAGACCAAATTTTGCTCTCATTTTCCTTTGGAGAGTCATGATGTGGTAGCCAGTTGGACAAATTACTCGCCACATGGTAGATCAGAATCGTTCTTATCAAGGTTTTCGAACCATTGTTGACCCGGACAGTTGGACCATTCAGCTTAGGGACCGTCCAGGCAACTGGTTCCATTTTACCCCAAACTCGGTTTTAGCCAAAAACTGTTGAAAAAGTCAACAACCCGTTGACCAGGGCGGTCGAACCATCGACCCGTTCAATGGTTTTTTACCGTTTTTTATTTTTAATTATTTTTTATTTGTTTGTCAAAACGGGTTGTCCATTCGAACCGGACAGTCGGACCGTCGACCCAGAAACCGGTGGCCAAAACAGTTCTGTTTTCGGGTTGTTTTTTAAAACGTTGGTTCTTATTGAAGTTCGTTATCTAAACATGTCACCTATGGAACCAATTAGAGATTGGCACGTCACCCAAAACTTTTTTTTTTTTTTTGGAAATTGTCTAAAACTCACCATGAATTTTCAACATTTCTCTTAAACTCACCACAACTTTTCAAAATGTCTAATAATCACCATGTCAGTAAGTTTTTACTTTCCAAAACTCACCTTCCGTTAGTGCACCATTAATGCTTCTTAAAAGAGGTGTCTATGTCAGCATAAATAACAACTTTTTATGACCAAATTACCCTTGAATGGTGAATTAGAGGAAAAATGGTCTTTTCAGTTTTCAATTTAATTTTTTTTTTGCATTTTTAGTGTTTTGTTATAATTTCCAATGTTTTTTTATAATTTCTGTTTACATTTTTCTATTTCTACAATCTATAAATTTTCCTGTATTTTTTTATTTATTTGCAATTTCTATAATTTTCATAATTTCTATATTTTTATGTATTTTATATTTGAAAATATTTTTTTGAACTTTTTCCTTTTTTCATGTCTAAATATTAAAACGATAATATATTAACACCCGTTAGTCTATTTAACATCAAGTTAGTGATATGGTGATTTTTATACATTTTGAAAAGTTATGGTGAATTTTAGACGATTTCCCTTTTTTTTGTAATAAAATTTCATTGGACAGGAATTGTTGGGTGACACCAGGTTAACAAGAGTGGATTCTTGTCAATGGATCCCACTTTAGGATCTCATCTACACCAAAACCAGAATTGGGTTGTGTGGGAGTTGCCAATTCTTTTCGACTACCTTCTCTTCCTAGAAAAAGAAATGAAAAAAAAAAGAATATCCAATTATTTTAAATAAAAAATAAGAAAATCTCAATATTCTGAAATCTTGGCCGAACTAAGTCTCGGCAAGTTTCAGTTTAACACTACTCTAAAATTAGCAAAATTTGGGTGAAATTCAATTCCGCCAATACAAATGTATCATATCACACTAATGTGTGAGCAAGGTTCAAAATAACGATGCAGGCCGTGTAGGCCTGTACCGGGAAGCCTCTGATACAGTATGTATCGGCCGATATGCCTGGATACATTGCAATTTTTTTTATCCTTGTGGGTGATTGTGGTGTATGAATAATCTAGTATGAGATACATGTAGTAAAATTGTAGATAGGAAATGAAGATTTGGGCCATTTGTCAGCCCAATAGGGTTGGGATAAGGTTTGAATGATGATGTTGCTACACAATAGGGTAGCCTGTCCCTCCTACCGTCATACCTATAAGCCCTAACCCTAGTGATAGCAGAATTAGATGAGTCTCGGATACAATCTAATGAGGGGTGATTTGGCCAACCAATTACAACAGGACGTGGTTAATCTGAATCATTTATTGACATCTCAATGCCATGTGGGGACAGGTCAAACTGAGCCAGATGGTCCTAAACCAACTAACACAACCTACGTGGCTAATCTGAATCATTCATTGACATATCAGTGCCATGTGGGGACAGGTCAAACTGAGCCAGATCGTCCTAAACCAACTAACCCAGCCTATATCCCGGCCTAAGGAAGAACAGTAGGTTGCCCCTCAACTGAGCGGAGCACATCACCTTAGGAGAACAAGCTGATGACTTCAGATGCCGGCTTGACCTCACCGACCTAGGCAACTAACGACTTGAATAGGCAGCCAACCTCCAGGGTATTAACCTACATGGTGATCTGTCCTTATTTGGTTTAGCATACCTATCGGTTTCAAAACCGATGACGGTCATGGTCAATATTACTAGATACAGCTCCAGAGTCCACTGGGTACCTATCTTTTCTTTTTTTCAAATCTAGTTTGATAGGGACCAGTTTAAGGTCGGTCTACCCTTTAAACCATTCGCTGACCCAAAACACTCTCATAGGGAATAGGGACATCAAGAAGGCCCCGATACATATTGCACCTATCTCAGGTACATGTATTAAATTTATAGGGAGGTGTTCCCAATTTGTTGAACCTTGGGTACCTGTATTAAATTTAATATTGGGATTATCTCAGGTACATCATGTATTAAATTTATGGTGAGATTTTCCCAATTTGTGGCTGGACTCCCATGTTTCCAGTGAAAGTTTTAATTGCAGCGAATCCCGTCACCCCAGGGCGTTCCTTACCGCCTAAAAATGTAAATGACGATGATATGAGATATTAAACCACTCTGTCCAATGGAACCCAAATCACGAAATTAATTGGAAAGCTCAAATATTTAAATGTTGGGTATTGAACCAAACGAGTTTGGGCAATAGAGATATATCCAATAATCCAACTCCAGAGTCAAGACAACAGAAATCAGGAAAAGAGTGATTGGGGAAAAGAAACAACAGTAGTTGATAGTGGATACAAATAATTTAGACAATGGAAAAGGCAGGCTGATAGTGCCAATGTTAAACAGGGGGATCTATTTACTACAAATCAACACAGGCCTGCTGAAAATAATAAAACAGACCGATATCCTAACCAAAGGCACAACGGAAACAATATCGATATAAAAGAGAGATAAAGGGGAAAAAATAGAAAGACCGTCCTATCCTCCCACTCCCACTTGAAATGAGAGAGGTCCCTAGTTACAGTACATTTCAAATGTTAATACACAAGACAACAGAGAGAGAGCTCTTAACAGCAAGCTCAAAAAACTTGATGCAGTCAAGACTCACCCCCATCAACGTGCCAAAAACACAGGTGGAACCTAATCACGTTGTGAAGAAATTCCACAACTTTTTCCCAATTGACACTTCGCCTGGATGCTCAGACTCATCATCATCATCATCCTCATCTTCGTCCCCAAATCCATCTCCCTCGTCACCTTCACTCGCATACTCTTCATCACCATACTCAACCGGCCCTTCTGTTGTCCCATTCACTTCTTCACTCAACTCTGCATTCCCAATCAACATCATTGCCTCAGCATTGCCACCACCAGTTACTGTCTCAAACTGCTGCAGAGAAAAAATGAACAAAACAGGGAGTATTAGGAGTCAACTAAGTCCAACCTTCTGGAGCACATAGAGAGAGAGAGAGAGGTACCCTGACAGCTCTATCGGCTGAGATCTCATGAATTTCCACCACACTTTCTAATGCTGTCACCTGCACCAAACGTGTACTTTGCCCATTCTCACCATTAACTCCCTGAGAATCTGCAATGGCAGCTTCCTGCTTGGAAGCTTCTTCTCCTGTAACCTCACCACCATCAGCTGCCTTCTTCATTCCTTTGGTGGGATCAGATGTTGCTTGAACTGCTGCTACAGCTTTGCCCACACTATTCATAAATTTGAAACAATAATGACTAGTAAAACACGTAAAGAGAATATTTGAGAATAGCAAATTACATCTTAAGTGAAAAAACAATGACCAACTAGACAGTGATTTAAGATAACACCAAAAGATCCAAAATCAGTCAAGAATATGGCATACATGGTTGCCCACCATGAACCAGAGATGCATGCCCTCTTCAGTATCTTGTTAATGTGTGTACATTACCCACCTAGAACTTCAAATTGACAAGACATCTCTCAGTTCACAGCCAAGAACCATGGTAAGCAGAATCAATCTCCATTTCAAGATAGTCAATAAAAGGCCACTAACCTATGGTCGCAAGTCATCCTTAACAGACAGAAAACATGTTGAGACTTACACTTTCGGACGCCTTAGGTTGTATCGCTTTTCACCTGGAGTTTGCATAGCCGGTGCAACTGTTTGCCTCCTCTTTCTCCGCCCACCTGTTGTAACACTATCTGAGCGCACTTCACTGTCATCAGCATCCTGCTCACTCACAGTAGTTATAGAAGCATGGGCATGGTTACGCTTCCGCCCCATGCTTGCCATACCAGAATCTCCTCGGCTTTCTTCAACAATATCGACAAAACCTTCTCTATTCCCATTTTGTTCATTCTTATTCTCTTCTGGGGTTTCCCCAAGAATAACCTTTGCATCCTCAACAACAGCCTTCACAGAACGTGTTCTACGCATGGGCCTACGTTTCTTGGCATATTTGCGTCTACCACTCTTCAGCTCCGAATGTTGGGAATCTTCTGGTAATTCTTCTGTCTTGCTATCCATGTTGCTCTGTTCAACAGATAAAGTTGGTTCATCTTGCAACTCTCTGATGCTATTATCTAATTGGATCCTCTGGACATCAAAAGAATCACTTGGTACCACAAAGGAAGGTTCTGGTTCATCTTCGGCACCAACTAACCTTTTTGATGATTCTTCTTCTATATTAACTTCTGTAGGAAGAGATTCCGTACCTAGGCCTTGAGCAGCAACTTGCTCAGTCTTTTTGATTGGGGAGAAGTTAAATATTCTGGAAGTGCATTTCCGGAGCCAAGACATGCGTCCACCAGGAGAACCCAAACATGTTCCTCCAGGAGAAAATTCAGTATTTGCCCCATCAGCACTGGTGCCACCACCTTGCATTGACTCCAGATAATTTTCAGCCAGTCTTGGCAGGGGAAGGACCTCGGCACCATCGAGCTCTTGAAGGGACTGCAGATCAGAGAACACAAATTCACTGATAATTTCTCCACAGTTCATGCAATCCTTGTTTTTCTCCACGAATGCAAGGAAGTGTTCTCTCTCCCTGAGAAATTGTTCTCTCTGATCCTTGAGCTTCTTGCTAAGCGTAACAAGATCATCAATGTCTTTCCGCATTTCAAGTTGCTGTACTTCAAGATGCCTTTTGTTTGTAGCAACCTCTTCTTTTTCTTTTTTGATTCTACGTCTTTCCAGCTCCATTTCTTCCATTTCTCTCCGAGCCACCTCCCTTAGGTGGTCAATTTTATTCTGTTCTCTAGACCTCTCCTCTCCAAATTCCCTCTCTCTTTCCTGCAAGTGTTTCTCCATTTCCTCTTGTCTATTATGAATATCAGCCTCGAGTTCCCTTTTCAGCAGCTCAAAGTCATGGAGCATCTGATCATGCTCACTTCGAGCTTTTTCAGAAAGCACTGATTGTTCATGCTCCATGCAGGCAGTGAAAGATTCTTTCTCCAGTTTTAGAGCTTCCTCCTTCCTTTTCACAGAATCCTGCATCGCAATCCTTTCATTTTTCAGCCTTTCCTCTTCTGAGGTTTTCAGTTTCTCCAGCCTTTCTTTCTCTTCACTTACCTTCTTCAACTCTTTCATAATTTCAGTTCTCTTTTCGTCCAAAACTTCCCACTCCCTCTCAAAATGCTCCTTTTCCTGCCTCAAATCCTCAACCTCCTTCAAAAATAATTCCTTCTCAAGCCTGCATTTATCATTCTCCCGTTTCAGCTCTGATTGCAGCCGAATATATTCAGCTCTCTCATCTTCAGTTACTTTGAGCTTTTCCCTTTCTTTGCATATCCTCGTTTGCTGCTCATCAATGTCAGCCTTTATCTTCTCCACTTCAGCTTTGAGTATCACCAAGTTCTCTCTTTCAGAAAGCATTTGTTTCTTCTGTATCTCTAAGCTCTTCTCCTCAGCTTTGAGAACTTTCTCCCTCTCCTTCAAAGCTTTCGATTTTGACTCAAGGTCCTTTTCCTTCTCCTTAGATTTCTCCAATTTCTTCTCTACTGCCTGCTCCCGTTTAGCAATTTTTTCCTCTTTGTGGTTAACTTCAACTTCCCTCTGATCCACTTCAACTACTCTGCTTTTCAGTTCTTCATCCAAGGATTTCCTCTTCTGCTCCAATTCCAACTCAAATTCATGTTTCTTCTTCTCCAGAATGTTGTTGTGCTCATCAAGGATCTGTTGGATCTCCATCTATAACATGAAAAAAAAATCAAGTGTCAGTCACAACTAAAGAAGAAAATAGAACTACAAAAGGGATCACAAAATCTAATAACTCAAAATTCAAACCCTGGCAACCAGTTAAACGGAAAATATCTAACTCAATATTCACAAATTCTTTTTAATTTGAACAGAATGTAAATAATTTCATGTGAAACAGAAAATACCCAAATCAAATAATTCCCCATCTAAGTTCAGGAATAATCCATGTGATACAATTTTGAATTATCAAAATCTTAACAGGTATAATTTGAACAGAATGTAAAAATTTCTTGTTGAGCTTATGCTTGGTGACCAACATCTACATTCTATTTTAAGTATGTAGATGTCACACACTAGGATCTATTATTAAAACCAATACTGGTCAGGTATCAACCCAAAAGAACTAGTATAGGCAATAACATGACATGTCAGAAAAGGAGTTTTTGTTTATTTATTTATTATTTTTTATAGGTAATGTCAGAAAGAAAATTTAACGCAACTATCTCAACATGTAACTGATTTTTTTTTTGAAAAAGTAAGGTAATATATTAAACTGCAAAAAATATGAAGGATATACAATCAGCCCAAATCCCTGTACAATGAGAAACAGTACTAAAGGAAAAACCCCTGAAACCCCAAACCCAAAAACTGAGCCAGCAGGTGTTTACAAACAAAGAAACTGTCCAAAAAAGAGCTCTTTGTCAAAAAAAGAACTTAAATGTCTAGATTTGAAAAGCGAGTGATTAGCCAGCCACGAACACAGAATGCCCATGATATTTTTAATAACTTCCTCTTTTGATTATTGACGCCCTTCAAATACTCTCTGGTTCCTTTCACGCCAAACTGCCAAGAACACAGCTGCAGGAAAGGTGTTTCAAACCACCCTTCCAGCCTTACTTAAATCCTTTAACCACCAAGCAAACAGAAAGCTCTTCACATCAGGTGGAAAGCACATCTTAATCCTGAACAAGTCCAAAATATTGCCCCAAATCCAGTGTATGAAGTCACAGTGGATCAGGAGGTGATTAGAGGCTTCAGTGCTTCTGTTGCATAGAGGACATCTTTCATCCTGCACTTGAATGCCCCTTCTGACTAGGATATCTCTGGTCTGTATTCTGTCCAGCACCGCTGACAACACAAAGAAAGACACCTTTGAAGGGACATTTCTTATCCAGGAAGGCGGGAAAGCAGAAGACTCCTCCCTTGTCAAGCTGTTATAGAAAGATCTGACCAGTGATTTAAAAGGCGCACAGGCGAGGCGCATACAAAATGCGCCTCGCCCAGGTCCTAGGCGCACCCCTTTCAAAAGGCGCGCGCTTGGTGCGCCTAGGCGTGCACCTGATGCGCCTTGCTCCTCATCCCAGGCATGCGCCTTTTTAAAATTTTGCGCTTTTTGTTTTTTTTGTTTTTTTTTTTTTGAGTCTGACGGCTGGACCGGGGGCTCCACCCCCGACCACGCCCCTCGAGGCAAACCCTAACATAGACTTGTTCGGGCTTGCCTCGAGGGGCGTGGAATGCAATATGTTTTACATCACATTAACTATTTGAAGCAATGCAATCAAGGAAAAAAAGAGATTGTGGGTTTTACATACTTGAAAATGCTTTATATGTTTGCTTTTATTTTTAAATTTTCATTTGAATACACTTTACATGTTATGCTTATGTATTTTAATTTTAGATAATAGGTTTTTTAAATCATTTATTTTAAAATTTAAGTTTATATTTTTTATTAACATTATGTTTAATATTTTTTGCATTTTTTTTTAAATTGTTGGCTTTTTTTTGAATCTTCTGACTTTTTTTATCTTTTAGCTTTTTTTATTTTGCACCTTTCTTAAAAAGGCGCACGCCACGCCTTGCGCCTCATGCGCAAATTGGCCCTTGCACTTTTAAAACACTGGATCTGACAAAGAAAATTCCTAAGTTTTCAAACATCCATTTCCTTTTGTCCTCCGCAGCTACATTTAATCTGACATTATATAAAGACTGCAGCAAACCTACGAGTGAGTTTATCTCCCGCAGTTGGGAATTCCAGACCAAGACTCCATTCTGCATTTCCAAATAATCAGCCAATGTTGCATTCTTGTCCACTGCTATCTCGAAAAGACCAGGACATCTTACTGATTTTTTCACTTAAATGAACTTGAATATTTGGATTCAACTTTCATTTTCATGTTATAAATCATAAATTGACTAACCAAATATTTCATTACCCGTAGTTTGAAAATGGACAGTTTTAAAAAGTGCATTTTACCCTCTAGAGATACAAATTCCATCCAAAGAACGCAGAGAAACAGAGCAGCAGTGGTGACTGAGCACTACTCCATTTAAAAAGGTAGGGGGAAGAGCTTGAAAAGTCCATTTTACCTCTTTCTTTCTTTCTTCCTCCTCCTCCACAGCTGACAAGCAGAGGAGCACCAGCTTTCCACCAGTCTCCCCTCCCTCCTCTCTTCTCTTTTCTTCTTTCTTTTTTCTTTCCTCTTCCCTTCTTTCTCTACTCTTCTTTCCACTTCTCTGTTAACTGCACATAGCAAAGAGTAAGCAGACCATCACAGTCCAGCTATTTTCCTTCTTCCCTCTTTTCTATTTCTTCTTCCTTTCTCCTCCCCTTCCCTCTACTTATTTCTTCCTCTGTAAACCGATTGTAACAGAGGACATACCAGAGCAGGCAAGAAACCCAACACCCTCCTTCATGTTTCCCTCAAATCACTCCACTCTCCTTCAGAGACTCCATAGCCCTTCCTCACCAACTGGTTGTACAGTTGAGCTCCCTATGCCTACTCACTTATATTTGTTCCTCCAACTGCACAAGGCACCAAACAAACCACCCCAATACTCGAGCAATTGTCCCATATCGTGTTTACAAATGCCAAACTGGGTTTGACTCTGCACATCTTATTAACATCAATGTTTAGTATGAAGAGGCTCCGCAGCTTCCTTCTATCTGAGATTTGCACTCAATCAGAGAATCAATGGATTTGGTTCTCTCTCCAGATTGTTCAACCTCTATACCGAATCTCTAATTTCCTCATTTTTCTATTCCTTTTTTATCCAATTGTTTTAGACACATCACTTAATTTTGGCAATTGACAGATTGATCATGTCTCCTATTTTCTTTATCTTTTATCTTTTAATTAAATGCTTCTGCCAATGTCAAATATGGTCAAGCATATGATTAGTTTGAGGTTTGAACTATATGGATTAGAAGAGAATAATCAGTTGGATGGAAATAGTTCCCTATGAATTGTACAACTTGAGGGGTAATAAAGTATCTGATTATTAACAACAAAGCAAGAAAATGTTGGGTTTATTTTATACAACAGTGGAAGTTTCAGAAATAACTTATTTGGAATATGCAAGTGGATGTTTGCAAGATTAATGTTCTTCCATCTGTGCTCTCCTATTCTTACTCTCTCTGGATATGATTTTGGTGGGAGATTGGCAAGGGAATGACCATCTGATACTAAGTTTGTCTAGGCATGGAGGATCGGCAGGGAAGGGTAAACATGGGTTTTGAAAAGATTATATACATCACATGATGTCATATGCAGACAGAATGTGACAGACCACTAACAGAGGGGTAGTATTCAACCTGTGACATCATCTAGCAAGGTACTTCAAGTCATTTTAGAAACCAGAGGGGTGGTTTAAGCATTTATCAGAAACCAGAGAGGAGGTTTTTTAAGTATTTAACCCTATTTCATTATGTGAAAAATCATGATCACCTATGAAGCTTTTTTTTCGTATTACACCTATAAAGCTTAAGAGATCCATTACAAGCATTGCACATTAGGCATAACTGAAATATAGAAAGGAATTTATGAAACATCTTAATTAACCACAATGGATAAGATAGTACTTTTTAATTAGTATAGGAAAATAACTCACTCTTTCTCTAGCATTTAGCTTCTCTTCTAGCACAAGAAGTTCCTTCTCTTTCATATCTAGGCTCCTTTTGGTCAAATCAGCTTCCTGCACCCCAAAGAAACAAAAGAATAGAGTTGGATGTATGAGAATGCATTAACTAGAACTTAAAAATATTGGACTATCTCAGTTAGAAGATAAGCATACCTCCTCTTTTGCAATTAGATTTGCTAATCTAGTATTTATGTCATCTTCTTTCTCTTTTAAAGTTATATTCATCATATCAATCTTCTTTTCAACCTCTTCAAGATGCTTTTCTCTTTGCTTAAGAAGTCGGTCGTTTTCATTTGCTCTCTCCTCTCTCTGGTTCAAGATTCGCCGACCCTCACCCAACCTCTCTTCGCCCTCCTGTAGTTTCCTTTCCCACTCTCTCAAGTCTTCTCTCTGTTTAGACAAAGTTGTCTCCTGTGCTTCTCGCCTGAGAAAATGGAAGACATTTTGCAAGTTGGAAATGGAACATGGCATTTGCATTATCTAACTTATGACCTTGAAAAATTAAGGACTTATAACATGACAAAAAATGTTGCTCTCGATAGAGCACAATGGGACAGGATTAGTGTAGCCAACCCCCAAATAGTTGGGATTAGGGGCTGAGTTTAGTTGAATTTAAGTTTGACAACCCAAAACAATGAGTAAAAACAAGTGATGGATACAAAAAAAAAAAATAAGGTGGCCCAAGACACTAGAGTATACTCTGCATTTAGGGATAGACGTTCCCTTCGAAGTATACTTTCACGAGCTTCCACTTCTTGCAGCTTCCTTTCCACCTCTGAACTCTTTCTTCTTGCCTCAGCAAGATTGGCATCTGCAGCATGCAGCTTTGCTTCCACCTCCAAAGACTTCTCCTCAATATTAACAACCAAAGCACTTGCTTCAGCTAACTTTGTATCAGATGTAAACTTGATTTCTGCATACTCCCCACGCATCTCACGCAAAGCCTTTTCAAGCTACAATGACCCATGTTGTTCAGGGAATGAGAACAGTACATGACAGAATAAAAACCTAGTTGGATATTCATTTCTATTCATCATAGACAGACCAAATATTTCTTACCATAAGAGTGCACACGTGGATGGGTGTAAAGTTAAAGAGGTGGAACTAATAAAAAATCAATAGAGAGAGAGAGAGAGCAACTTCACAATCAAAGAACCAATCTTTTTTTTTTATAAGAACTACTAAAAATGGTCAGATATATATATATAGAGAGAGAGAGAGAGAGCAACTTCACAATCAAAGAACCAATCTTTTTTTTTTGATAAGCAAGAACTAATGTTATCACTCCCCCACCATGCTTGCAATCTTGAGACAAATCAACAATCCTTGTTATCGCTCCCCCACCAATGTTAAAGAACCACAGATAAATAAATAGATAAAAAAACAATGGTAATACTCTACCAAAGGCAATTTGAGGTCATGTTAATCATGAACCAAGCAAGATCAAACCATGAACACATGGAATCTTGCTCACTGAATATTAGCAACATTCTAAAATGATACATAGAGCAAACACAGCAAGCATGGTATTTGAAAGTTATAATTCACGAACATAAAATTCTTTACACAATTAGTATCAAGGAAGAAAAAACTAGAAATAGCAAGCATATATCATACATCATCCACACACTGCTTCTCAACTCCCAAAGCCTTCCTCAGATTTTCTTCTCGCTTCTCGACTTCAGATATTGCAATTAAGTGTGCAGCTTGTTCACGCTTGAGGATCTCCTGTGCTTCAATTAATGCTTGCCTGAGTTCTTCATTCTTAGAAGTCCATTCTTTCTTTTCAATCAGAAGCAGCCCCATATTATATTGGTATTCAAAAAGCTGCTCAAAAAAAGAAAGGTCAGCTAAAAAATAATGTGCAACGTTCAAGCTGAAAGCAAAACAAACAAGGAGGTAAAGGCACAGATTAATATCAACTTATATAAGAACACATGTTACATGACCATTGAAGATGGCAAGAACAGCTTTTGGGTGGTTCAAACCAAGTCAAACCAAAAGAACAACTATTGCAATTAGATAACGGTAGTAGTAAGAACAACAACAACAATAATAATAAGATAACTAGATCCTATTTGCTAAAATAACTCTAGAATTAATTATCAAAATCTACTAAACCAGTAACAAAGGGAAAGCTGGATTATTAATATCAAAAGCAGACTTAATAAATCTTGTTCAAGGATGTCTACGTAGATGATTTGATTAGAGGCTGGAGTGTTTTAGCAAGGTCTTCTACTTAATCACCTACCATACAAGCAGTTTGGTCCCCTCCTTTGCAGTGTAATGTCTAACTGAACTTTGATGGAAGCTCCGTTGGGAACCCTGGACCTTCTGGAATAGGGGGTGTGTTTAGAGATGCGGGAGGAAAAATCCTCTATGTATTCTAGTCCAATAAGTTTGGGGGACTCGCTGAAGTGTTGGCCCTCCTCCAGGGGCTCAGATTGGCCAAGCAATTGGGGTATCAACAGCTAGAAGTAGAGGGAAATTCAAAATTAGTAGTAGATTGGCTGCAATCAAATAGTTTGGGAACGTGGTCCTTTAGACAACCTGTAAGGAAATTATTGAGCCTCACAAGGGAGCTGGGTGCACAGGTTTATTGGTCTAGGAGGTCAGAAAATGCTTTAGCCGACAACATAGCAAAGCAAGGGGTGAATCGGGAAGTTTTTTTTTATCAATAACATCAATTTCATTAAATTAAGAGAAAAGAGGGAAAGGAATACAGAGGGAGATAAAATAACTTAGCTCCCCAAAAAACAGAAAACTCAGGGAAAGCAAAGAAAATTAAAAACTAGCCCAGAAAACAGCCTCCCTAGTCACTCCTTGCTTGGCCAACCCATCCGCAAATGAGTTGGCACTCCTCTTCACCCAGC